TTATTTATCTAAAGAGTTACTGCTCATATTGTGGTGAATGCTACTTATATCTATCGACATAAGTAGTATGTAACACCATTCAGAAATGAAAATCCTAGAAGCAGAAAGCTAAGGAGATTGAATTGAAGAGAATAGAAATGAAAATAGAGAAGAAATATGAACTAGATAAATTATATAGAACGTAAATAACAAATAATGAAAATTTACAAATAAAATGTTTAATGTATGATACCAATATTCTACCACAATACTCTGTTTTTTTTACGAATCAATAAACTGGATGTCCCCAGCTAAATGTTCGTTCACAACTGTTAGCGAGAAATAAACCGAATTAAGGTACGTTATGTCCATGATCTTGACGGCGCACTCTGATTGGCTAATTCTAAACCAATCAGCTCTGGCAGATTATGGGAGAAGCATCTAGAAGTTTCTTATGCCTATACTATAAATACATGAACGTTTTTCTAACAATTAATTGCTGTTCACCTATCCTTGTTATTTTGAATACAATTTCATTCCTGTTCAACGTGTTCTGATTTTTGGGGTCTTGTCGAGTTTCAGTGGATAAGAATACTGAGCAATAGGAGTAGCTAGGTCGTTTATTAGAAAAACCAATTATAACAACAACAATGTGTTTCATATTACCCTTTTTTCTTAATAATATTGATATATATGAGCTAATAGCAATACACATATTCTTCATCTTGGATAGAAACAATCAATATTTTGTTTGGTAAAACAAAAAAAGGTGTAACCTTAAATAGTGATCTGTTTTCTTCTTTTCTTTTTTTGTTGTTGTTGAAAATGTAACATTCGATTATCATATAAGGGTCATGAAGAATCAATTTGAACAAAGGTGGAATAAATTGGAAATTCATTTTGTTAGTCAACTATTTCTTGTTTAGATGAAAGAAGAATAGTTTACATGTAAACAACTTATTTGAGAAAATAATGCTTAGGCAAATGAAAATTTATAAGCAAAGATAGATATTGGTTAGCTGTGAAGTCCAGGATGTACGTTTTATCCGATTTAGGACTCCTCAGCTGGTTGTACCAATACAAAGATGAATTAAAACTTCACCCCGATGCACAAGCTAGTGGCTATCTGAACTCAGCAACTAAGTGGTCTATCAGCTAAGTGCTCTGGCGCGAGACTGGTAGGTCCTGGGTTCAAATCTCTCAAGGTGGGATCGTGGGTGCGTACTGCTGAGGAGTCCCATAATAGGGCGAAACGGCCGTCCAGTGCTTCCAGGTTTTCCATGATGGTCTAGCTTCAAATGACTCATGATCTCAACTATATAAAATCTTATTATCTGTTGAGTATAGAGAGTAAAATATTGTTCAACATTCAAATAAACCTAAGTAGTTATTTATTAAGCATATGGAGTAATTTTTAAATGTAGAGAAGTTTTATTAAATTTCAATAATATAATACTTATAATCGCTTTATGAGTAATAATGTAGCACTAACTGGAAAAAGACTTAAACAAAAGAAACTATTACAATTACTAGTACAAAATATGGTAATAAAATAGTGATTAAAACTTGAAACAATGTAGACTTAAGATCAAAATAAGCTTACAAATCGACAACAAGAAGAAGTTATGTAGAAATACAAAGTATTATGATAATCGATACAAAGCATAATAGGTAAAATTATGCAATTGCTAATCCATTGGTGACATGAGTTTATAAACTCTAATCGATTATCATTAATGATTACTGGTTTTGTTGGGGAGGCTCCAAAAACATTTCTAGGCCTCTAGAGGCTCTAATGGAGCCTAAAAGATTTCATCCAGTCAGAACTTGATAGAGCCTTCTAGAATATCAACGTGGTATGTTATGATTGAACAGTTGTATAATTTTCCTACTTTTGGATTTGCTGGATCATGATGGTGTTAAAGTCAATACTAAAAACGATAAATACCCCTGTTTTTCTATACATTTCTGACTGTTAGCCAATAATCACTTCCTCTGCTTCTTCCATTTTTTGTATTTGCGATTACACGGTTCTGCACATCCGAGTGCCTATAGTTGAATACCGTACTCTGACGTAACCAAGTAGAGAACGTAACAAGTTTTATTTAATTTTCTTATTCATAAAAACAGATCTTTTTCAAATGAATTTGGTCCATATTGAATTACATTAAATAGATGCTATTGACACTTTTATTCGGATAAAATAATTTAGATTGTTTCATTGTAATCACTGTTAACAATTTATCACTCAGAACAATAGCAATAAATTTGTACCCTGAATTAAATATTAATAACTAACATGCTGCAGTGATATGTTTGAAATATTTATTTGATAGAGCAGATCAATACATTAAATTCATTTAGTATTGTTTGTTTGAATATTTTCATAGGATTGCAACGGGTCAGTCTCTAATTGGCATATGTGCATATTGTGCTTATTGACTCGATATAGCCTTATTTCACAAGCATTGTAAGCAGAGGTGGATAGTGGCTAGCAGTAGAATCCAGGACTCAGTGGCTGTGTGGATAACGCGATGGCGTTTGAAGCGAAAATTACTGAGTTCGAGTCCCAGAGTGAACATCAATTCTGAGATTCAGGTGCATTCAGCTGACGAGTCCGGAATAGGACGAAACGCGCATCCTGGATTCCACTGCTATCCATTATCCATTTTTGCTTGCAGATGAATACATAGTTTGTCTTTGTAAATGTTCAGTGAGGAATGTCATTTGGAACTCCTTTTACTTGAGATTATTATAATATAACTCGTTGGTATATCTGTACATGTTAAGTTGAAGAGATGTTTACTTTATTTGTTTAGAAGTTGAATACTTTTTTTCTATAAGTTACTGATCGATTTTCTGAATATATTTTTAAATGTCATTACTGACAAGGGTTTGAATTATCTCACTGTTGATATACAGAACTGTAAACTATCAGTCTCTGTCGTCACAAGTCCATTCACATCTATTATAGCATAGGTTATCTACAGTAAATGGATAGTGGCTAGCAGTGAAATCCAAGATGTTTGCTTCGTCTTGTTTGAGACTCTTTATCTAGATATACCTGAATCCATTGTTTTTAGTTCATTTTTGAATTTTATAGTTGAAATCATGAGTCAATTGAAGCTAGACCACCATGGAATACCACAATCCCACCTTGCGAGGTTCAAACACAGGACCTACCAGTCTCGCAACCAATCCACGAAGGTGAGAAATTGTTCATCATTGTCTTCAGTGCGTTGATATCTCACAACAGACCCGGTTGAACTGCACTGGTCACTGCTCCTCACTAGAACTCTAGGAAATACCTCTTGAAGCCGGTCACTAGTGAGCATATTTTGATTAATATCAGAAGGCGTCATTTTTGAATTACAAATTCCTATAATACAAATCCCTATATATTAATCCTCTTCCTTATAGTAGTACCTTAGATACGTTAAACAAAGAAACCATAACAAAACTTATTCTATCCGGTTTACATTTGATAACACGATATATAAATATCTTAATTATTCTTAAATTAATCTTATTATCTTTGATAAACTTGTAAGTCTTTGTCTTGGTAAAACTATTCCTAAGAGTTAACAGGTCGAAAAATTATTCTTCAGGGAGATTCTTCTAATTTATCTCCCTTTCTGTGTCAATACTATTATTTGATGTTCTTTTACGATAGTTATGGTTATGTAACCATATATATATAGCATTGCTTGTATATCCTGGGATCACCGAGTAATTAATGAGGTTGTTAGGAAACGATACTAGGTAAGGATGGCAAATCGAGTGATGAGATAGTGAAACTTCATCACTTGAGGTGGCTGGGACACGTGTTACATATGCCTAACCACCGACTGCCCCAACGTGCAATGTTTTATGGCAAAGGAGTAGGTTGGAAGAAAGCTAGGGGCAGCCAGAACAAAACGTGGCACAAATCCATGAAGTCGCTAGCAAGTGCACTGAACCATGTTGGAAGGTGTAGACTACCTGGTTGAGGTCCGCGAGATGATAACAATCGATAGTTAGAGACCTTGAATGACATGGCTCAAAATCGTTTGCAATGACGAAGGTGCATCCAGTCTTTGTGTTCTACCAAATACTAATCTTCCGAATTTTTCATGCCCTTATCTTTTTTCTCTTTTCAAACTTATTTCACTGGATTATGCTCCTTCAATAACATCTTCAAACCTTAATTTTTCAGGTTAATGCTCATACTCTTACTACCTCTACCATTATGGGATTTGAATCGAGAACCGAATTTCTGTACTGATGTGGTATGACAACTCGAACTGATGTACGTACGTACGAAGTTCTACGTTGCGACTGATATATATATATATATATATATATATATATATATATATATATATATATCACCATGACAACCGTAATTTCATTGTAAGTGTACAATTAATGAGCGATTGATAAATAATTTTTAAAAAATGCTATGGTTTTTAGAAAGTTAGTATATTCTTATCTCCTTTTAATGAAATATTTTTATTATCTTTCAACCGATTTAAAATCAAAATGAAGTAAATTAACAGAATACTTATTGAATGCCGTATCGATTTCATGCTCCTTTTCAAACTATACTAGCTGGTTTTAAAATTATTTAATGGTTGGATTCATGAGCTGATTTAAGCTAGACCACTCTGGAATCACTGAATGGCTGTTTCATAATAGTATGAGACTCCTAAGCAGCTCATACCCACGATTCCACATCAAAGGGACACAAACTCAGGATCTTCAGTCTCGTGCACTAAAGCTTAACCTCTAGACCACCGAGCTGGTTAGCACCCGACGGTGTTAATATCTAGCTTCAACCAATTCACGATATTACGCAACCGTCCACCATTGTCTTCAACGAGTAACTACCTTCCAGTAGACATAGTTGAACTCCACCGGTCACATATACTCCCTAGAACTTCAGGAAACATATCTTAAAATTAATGACTATAATTTTAGTAAAAGTTTAAACAAAAATTAAAAAAAACAAGTAATGAAGAAAAAAGGCTTATTGAACATACCTTTAAATTGTTTTAATAAATCTCTTTATTTCACTGTATAACATAAAATTAATAAATGAATTTAAAATAAATTTTAAATTACATGAACATTCTCTACTTCAATAATTGTTGATTGGTTAAAAATATACTCACTTTCGATTGGTTAAAAATATACTCACTTTTGATTGGTTCATTTGTTCCATGTATTATTATTAGTAGTAGTAGTAGTAATAGTATTAATATGAATATCTTTAATAATCGATAAATATTGTAGCATAGGGATAGAGAATTATTTTTTTTTTAATGTTGAGGCAAAGAAATATCGATTTTTATTGATTAGGCTAACATTCAAATTATTGATTTTATTGATTAGATGATTTAATTAAAATAATGATGGATGTAATAAATATCCAATAATTCTAATTGTAAACAACCTTTAATTGCTGATGAAACTATATTAAAAAGATATGTCTCATTATTTATATTTGCATAGTTGAAATTATGGGACAATTGAAGCTAGACCACCATGGAAAACTTGAAAGCACTGGACGGCCGTTTCACTCTACTGTGGGACTCCTCATTGACAGTGCTCATCCACGACCTCTCCTCAAGAGATTCGAACCCAGAACCTACCATTCTCGCGACAGAGAACTTGACACATAGACCACTGAGCCGGCATCCAAACGTGTTAATATTTAACATCAATCAATCCACGAAGTTGAGCAACCGATCGCCAATTGTTTTCAGTGAGTTGATATCTTTCGACAGATCTGGTTGAACTCATAGTTGACTCATGATTTCAAGAATGCAAATACTGAAATCTTGACAAAACCCCTTCTATTTCTTTGTTTTCATTTATTGAAAGATATTACGTTCTTTAAGAAATTGAAACTTGGAAAACTACGAAAGCCATTATCCAGAAGATACAAGTGTTTATTAACAGTTGTCTAAGCAAGATACTTCGGATCTGTTGGTCAGACACTATCAGTAACAACTTACTGTAGGAGAGAACATACCAGATTCCAGCGTCACAAGGCAAGCCCCCACATGGAATTCTGAAGGCCGAAAGAGAAGAGGAAGACCAAAGAACGTATTACACCGAGAAATTGAGACAGACATGAGAAGAATGAACAAAAACTGGATAGAACTAGAAAGGAAGGGCCAGGAAAGTGTGTTCTGGAGAATGGTGGTCGGCAGCTTATGCTCCAATGGGGGTAACAAGTGTAAGTAAATAAGTAATGGAAATAAAAATTTAAACAATCTTTTTTTTATTAGTTGAGCTTAGTCAACTTTTTGGATAAAATACATGAGACATTGAAAAAACAAAATATTGGAATAAATTGAATATTCAAACTTGGAGTTGCATGTAGAAAAAGTTAAGAAAGATGTGTAGTTCTACAATGTTGAGACAGAAACATGGCATGGATTAGCTTTCACTTTATATTACAAATTAGCTGAAGTCAGAATCATATCATTGTATATTGACTCAATTGTTCTAACATTTAACTATTCACTGTCCGACCTCAATGTCCTGAGTTGAATTCTATGAGTTGTTTGTTAGTGATTATTATTGAGGAATTCAGTGGTATTAAGAAATAGTTTTCTAAAGCCCCCTTATTCCCATTGGTATTCTCACTGAGGTTAGCCAGTGACGAATATACTATAGAAATTAAACCAATCTTTATAAAACTCCTTAGACTAAACTATACAAACTGTTAGTAAAATTAAATACAGTTCGTTTCCAGAAAATAATTTTAGAACTTGGTATTGAAATGTTAAAAACAATGGTACTGTTTTTTACTACTGACAAATGATATTAGTAGAACGGGACACTTTGTGAATTACGGAACGTGGTTTTCATTATGAATTGAAGGCATTACGATTATCCTAGAATATTTTTAGTAACTAGCTTCATGTACGCAAGACGTAAGATAAATATCATTGATCTCAGTGGATAACCATCGCGCAATATTGCGAAATGACTGACGTTAAAAATATATACTACTACATTCTAACTCAGTAGCCTAAAGATTAAGCTCTCACTCTAAAAACAGAAAATTCTGAGTTCCATGTGTTTTGGATACTTAGATGTACAATGGTGAGAATTCACATGCTATGATAAAATCACTATCCTGGTTTCCAATGGTACACGCCGTGTGAATTCACTTAGACTAGTGAGCACACCGCAACTAGATCGATAGATTTCGGTCAGCACTAAGCATCGCATTGATCACAATTCAGGGATTAAGAATTTGTCCAAAATTCAATATACATAAAGATCATTTTGTAAAATGTTAAGTTAGAATTTTAAGCAGATTTCTGAGACCTTGAAGATAACAATATTAACCAGAAGTATTAAACCAATCTTACAGTGGGTAAACAGCTAGAAATACTTCATTTATCTGTCATACGAATATCAAGTTAGTATAAAAAATATAGTAAATTTTACTTAATCATCAAATTAATTAAGAAATGACTGTATAAATGTTTAGGTGCAGTGTATATAAAATTCTGAATAATCAGGAGAATGAATTCAATTTCGGATGTCTCTATCACCCCTTAGTGACACTATATTATAAGTAATAGCAGTAGTAGTAACTTAAAAAGGAAGAAAAATTCGACTCTAAGTCAACACGTGGCTCTTCTAGGTAATGAGAAACCTTGTTAGTTGATGTGGGCGATTGGCAGCGATCAGACTAATCCACTAATCCTATGTTGAACATGAATTCCTCAGAGTTCAGTCTTCAGGGCCTTAAAAATCTTGACGAACTGCCAGATGTGTATGCTTGTGTGTATGAATTGCATGAACCTCGGTTTATTTAGTTGTGTATGTAGGTACTTTAAAAAAGTACACGCTAGGGTCGAAAAAGTAACGTAAGATGAAATTCCTATCTTATGTTCAATAAAATCAGCGACCTAAACCATCACATCCAAGACATAATAAAAAGATATGGTATTAAATACTAGAGAGAGGCGACTATCAACTCTCCCTGAGAAAGTGTTTATGCTTGTGTGTGTGCTATGAAATGAATGGACCAAAGTCTTTTTACCAGTAGCGTGCATGTAATGCGTAAGAGAGAGTCAGTAGTAGTAAATAAATTCTAGGGGAGAGGTGATATAACTGATGCTACTACGAGTTCACCTTAGTTGGTAAACGGATGAAGGTCAAAGATAGTGACACAATAGGTTATTCTAATCTGTTGTCCCAACCCCTGCTAACTAGATCAAGAAGTCTTGATGATGCATTGAAGAATATATTCTATAAACACTCGGAAAACACGAAGTCAATAAGTACACAAATCAACCTTATTTCTACAATGATAGAAACGCCTTAGGGAGAGACACGAAATAGTGTACTGAAAAAATCCGTCAAACAATGACAGTCAAGGATTGTCGAAAGGAAAATGTAAGCTGTAGGTCAACTAAGTGTTTCTTGGGACGAAAGCATAAAATTCATACTTTCAGAATAACATTACAAAATTACAACCTTTTTCAAGTGAGTTCTGAGGATCTAAAGTCTCCAACAAGAGGTGACCATCCACCCTTCCAGTTTGGTGAATATACCTATAAATATATATATACATACACAGACATGCTTATCGGCGTCCGACAATGATAGTTTTTCTTGACTTGAAAGCAGCATTTGACTCTGTAGACCGAGAGGTTTTGTGGCAGTGTCTGTCATTGAAAGGTGTACCTGAGAAGTACATAAACCTTGTGAAGGCTCTTCACTCGAACACTACCAGTCGAGTGAGAGCTTATGGCGAACTGTCACATGATTTTACAACCTCAAGTGGTGTCCGTCAACGCTGTCCACTATCCCCATTTTCGTTTAACTTCATTATAGACCTGTTGCTGGAAATAACACTCTCGTCGACTGAATTTTCAGGAATTGATCTTCAACCAGGAGGTTCACTTATCGACTTAGAATACGCAGATGACATAGTCCTGTTTGGTGAAGACGCTGACAAAATGCAGAGTCTTCTGTTGGAACTCAGTAATAATACCAGGATGTTTGGGATGCGTTTCTCCCCCTCTAAATGTAAATTGTTACTCCAGGACTGGCCTGCGTCAACACCTGAACTATGGATAGGGAGTGAAGTAGTCGAACGCGTCGACAACTTCACTTATCTTGGAAGTCTGATCAGCTCTAATAGTTTGGTGTCTGACGAAATTTCTGCATGGGTTCAAAAAGTTCATTCGGCTTTTGCTAACTTACGTCACCTATGGCGAAGACGAGATATCCGTCTATCAAGTAAGGGACAAGTATGCTGTGCGGTAGTTCATTCTGTTTTACTTTACGGCTGTGAATCGTGGCCATTAAGAGTAGAAGATACTCGTAAGTCACTGGTATTTGACCACAGATGCCTTAGAAATATTGCTCGCATCTGCTGGGATAACCGGGTAAGTAATAGTGAGGTTAGACGCAGGGTATTATGGAATGATGGTAAATCAGTTGATGATTACCGATTACCACGACGCGCAATGTTGACCAGTGTAGGGGATGGTTGGAAGGGAGTTAGGGGCAGCCAAACCAAAACATGGCACCAGTGCTTGAAGTCACTAACTTCTAGTCTGAGCCATGTTGGTAAATGCAGACTACCTGGTTGGGGTCCGCGTGACTATCGTAACCAATGGTTGGAGACTCTGTGTGACATGGCTCAGAATCGATCACAATGGCGTAGGTGTATACAATTTTTATCTTCCCTCAAACCTTGAGATTAAAATTGCTTCATAACTTTCTTTCTTCCTGTACTATATCCTTTTATACAACCTTTCTTTATATACTACCACCACTAAATTAATTACTTCTATGAATCCGGTGTTCATCTTGTTGTGCTAAAGAGGTATGGCAACTTGGACCGATGTATATATGTGCCTGGTCCTACGTTGTCGCTGACTGACTGACTAAATGGTTGTAACACAACGTAATAATTTCTTCAACTTGAACAGTAAGAAATGAAATCTAATTTTAAAAACATTAAATAGAATGAAAGTTGACAAATGTCTATTATGTTGCCTTAGTTAAACAAATGAATTTTTTTTTAGAAAATCATTCGATTAGTTACCCAATATCGGATCATATTTTGACATTCTAAGACA